GTCATTATAATTTTTAACAATTACAATTGTCTCTGAAATATAAAGGAAGAAGTTTTAAAAGAAAACAGTGAAGTTTTATTTTGCACACAAGTATAGTATATACTGCTATGTGTATTACATGAAAGAATTTAGAAGATATATACTTGTGCCTTGTAAATAACAAAAATTGTTGTAGGCCACTCATGCACACAGCAATTACTCTTTACTTGGGACTCTGATCTTCATTCTAATTTATGCTGTACTGGCTGCAGTAGTTTTAGGACAAGACAGAAAAGCAAGTTCTACCATGTAAAGAGACCTGCACCTAAGGGTAGGTAAGCCTCTCACACAAGAGAGTCTTCTGATACACTGAAACATTGTCACAAAATGTGGGGCCTCCTCTGTGGGCTGGGGGGATGGTACAGTAGGAAAAAGCTCTTGCCAGGCGAGCATGAGGCAATTTGGGTGCCCAGCGCCATGGTATGTGTCAGGCGAGTGTGGTGGCTATCTGTAACGCCAGCCGAAGCAGAGGATCCCCTGGGCACTGCTTAGCTAGACCAGCTGGGATTTGCAAGTTCCATATCCAGCGAGACACTCTGCTTCCATAAATAGACAGCAACTGAGGAAGACACCTACATCAACTTCTCAGCCCTACACACCCATGTACAAGCATGTGCACACACCCATACACCTGCATATATAACACACATAAGCACGTGCCAAGAAGAAGAGGAGGAGGAAGAGGAAGATGCAGCAAACAAACAAAAAAAAAAACTTCAAAGACCTCGGTCCATAACTCTTTATATAACATAAACATTTGTTTCTGAGAAGGAAAGACAAAAGAATCCACGTCTGGGGATAGCCTCTGGCAGAACCCAACTGCAGTTAGAAGCAAATGAACCACAATCATCTGGGCTACATCTGCTTTAAAGTCCGTGGCTTTACGTACAAAAGTATGTATAGTTTACATAAAAAAGGTATGCATAGCTCACTACAAAGGAAGCATAGCAAAGTATACTTTTGCAGGGGAGGTTTCAAGACAGGGTGTCTCTGAGTAGCCCAGGCTGTCCTGGAACTAGCTCTGTAGTATAGACTGACCTTGAACTCACAGAGATCCACCTGCCTCTGCCTCCCGAGTACTGGGATTAAAGGTGTGCGCCACCACCGCCTGGCAAAAAGTTCACTTTTACATCTACTGGGTCTAGAACTTAAAGCAGCAACAGCTCTTTTTAAAAAGGCCAAGAGGTTTAGCAGTGCACAGGACTAACTTCATAAAGTTAACTCATCTGGGAGTTTATTATATACATTTTTCCAAGTTCTGTTCTTTGCCAATATGTTATTCCAAAATAAAACTTGCTAACTGATGTGTTTTGGGTTTTCAAACATTGACGTCTGACCAGACAGGTAGGATAATTCAATGGAAAACTGAATATGTGTGTGTATAAGCACACGTATGCTCACATATGTATATACACAATTACATACATATGTTTCAGAACTTTGCACATCACGGATCTGCAGCAGAGGTACCACAGTATGTCCTAACCCAAGGGCTCCCAGCATCCTGCTTTATGTTCCTGCTGCTGTATGGAATACAGGTTGGGAAATGCTGGATTCTTAAATATGAACGACACACAGGCATCTAGGATGGTGATAACTCTTGCCTCCATTTGACAGACCTTCCAGTCTGACATTCTTAGTTTGTCTAGAGCTGTACGTTCTAATCTCACACTGAAATGTACACCTTTCCTGTGCACACACAAGCACCAGAGCCTAGGCATACCACTTAAAGCAGCTTGTAACTACTGCAAACATAATTACATGCTTTTTCTCCGCTGCTTAGAATAGAGTTCAAAGGAAGAGGCTTGCTCCCATTCCCTTGATCCTCTGGCTCTTTAAGAACTTTGTGTAAACGTGGTAGCATTATCTGCCTGGTGAAGGTGACAGGTGTGCCTTTCTTGTCTCGGCAAAGGAGACCTTGGGGAGACAGGGGTGCCAGAGAAGGGGAAGATCTCGAGGTGGTACTTCTTCCTAATTTTCTTGTCATTTGTCCTGGAATGGGGTCTCTAGAGGATACACCATCTCTACTCCCCAGCACCCCATTCCTGTAATCTACCAACTCCAGGGCATTTGTTTGTTTTCCTCCTCTAATTATCCCCTTGGTGAGAAACCGAGAAGAAAGTGTGGGCTGGTGACAGAATCCTTTCCTCCACAATTACACGGCAAATCATGTTGTCCTGTGAGGCGGGCAAATCCCCGCAGAACTCCTGAACAGATGTCAGGGAGGAGACCGACTCAGCTCCCTGCAGTCTACAGTCCCGCAGGCTGACCTGAGTGCCACCATCCATCTTCACCCAAAGGTGACAACACACAGAGCGCTTGTCCTGGCTGCTGTCATCACACTTGCTCAGGGAGAACCGAATGAGCTCTCCTATGATCTCAGCTTCTGCCTCCTCAATGAATTCTCTCCAAATAAGCCAGCCCTTCCTTGTGTACCACCTGCTTCCTTCCAGGTCCCTGACCAACCAAGAAGGAAGTGTTTTTCCTTTCTTTTTTTCTCTCCTCCTTCTCCTCCTTCCCACCTCCTCCCTTCTTCTCTTTTTTGGTACTTTTTTGAGACAGGGTTTCTCTGTGTAACAGTCCTAGCTGTTCTGGCATCTCTCTGGAGACCAGACTGGCCTCGAACTCATAGAGATGCGCTTACTTCTGCCTTCCAAGTGCTGGGAGAAGGAGTTTTTCTTGATGATGAACTGTCACAATATCACTGAGAAAAGTAAGATGTTAAAAATTATAACTGCTGTGCGTGGTGGTGCACACCTTTGATCCCAGCCACTCCGGAGGCAGAGGCAGGCAGATCTCTGTGAGTTCGAGGCCAGCCTGGTCCACAGAGTGAGTTCCAGGGCAGCCAAGGCTACACAGTGAAACATTCCCCCCAAAAGAAAAAAATTACATATATAATTATAAACTTGGGATCAGATGTGGCTCAGTGGTAGAGCATTTGCCTAGCATATAAAAGGCTCTGGGTTCGACCTTCACATTTCTTAGTAAAGGGCTGAATTTGCACCTCTGGAGAGTCATGAGAACTATTTGGCAGTTTATCCCTGGTATCAGTTCTTCCAAAGCAGGCATCGTGTAGGTTATTCTATATAAACTGTCTTGCCTGGTAAGGTACACGCTGCTATTATTTCTATTTGGCAGATGATGAAACTGAGTCATAAAGATAGCAAGGGTCTAGGGCTGGAGATGTGTCAGGTGTAGCTCAGGGCAGAACACTTGGCCTGTCATGCCTGTGACCCTCTGTCTGATCCTGAGAGTCGCAGACACACAGTCTCTCTTCTCCCCCACCCCGCCCCGCCCCCACTCAGGGCTATAGTGTTTTAATAAATGTTCCCCATAGTCCCATACGATTATCCCCTTGGTTCTCGGCAGGTGGTGGTGTTTGTCGCTGGAGGAATTGGGTCACTAGGGGCAGGTCTTGAAATTTACCAGACACTGCTTCCTGTCTGTCTGTTTCCTGTTCCACCAAGACATGATCAGGTGATGCGTCCCTGCCGCATGCTCTGGACGTCATGAAGCCACCTGCTACTACTATGCCTGGCCTACTGGGATGGACTATGTCCTCTCAAACCGCGAGCCCTAAAAACTTCTCCCCCTTAAGTTGTTTCTTGTCAGGTATTTGGTCAAAATGATGTGAAAATATAAGAACATACTTGTACACACATGTCAATATACATATATGCATGTAGACAGTGTAAGGATTGGTGAAGGTGTGTGGCTGGTATATGACAGAACCAGGATTTGAACCAATGGCTGTTGAATCTGAGCATCCATAAACACTACAAAGAGTGTGTGCTTCCTCCCTGTGAAGGCTTGGGGAGGAAGTGGAAGGCAATGAGAGGTGAAGGGGACACTCAGCCTCTCTGCCTAACAGGCTCAGCCGCTGCAGGTAACTCCTACCGACGAGATTGTCCCATGGTAGAAATGGAATTGTGGGGCACAGAACAGCCACATAAGCCACAGAGACTAATGCACGCTGAAGGAATGTTTATGAAAACAAAATGCCATAAGGAAGAATGGTTGGTAAAGATGAATTCTTTGGTTAACTACGCTGGTGGGCAATTTTATCAAATTCCAAAGCAAATCCTGCCTGAACCTTTGACTTTCTATGCAGGATCACTGTTAATGCTTGTAGAATCTACCAGCGTACTGCATGAGAAAAAAAAAAATGTATCTAAACTTTAAAAATGAAATGACCTAGAGACAAATTTCACAATATTTTTGAGAAGGAAAACAAAAAACTATTGACACCGTGGGGTGTGCCTGAGAATAATTTCTCCCATAGACCAGCTAGCAGTGAACATCAAGAACACACATCTTTCCAGTACCATCCCAAAGAGCCCGTGAGAGTGCTTGTTGGCAGACCCATTGTCTACCTGTGGTGAAGACCAGACTTCCACCCTATGCCTACTGCAAAGTTTGACAAATGAGACCATGGGACATTCCAGGCTGTCACATAGCTCAATAAGGCACAATGCTACAGGCATTTGGCTGCAAAATCCTTAGCAGTCTGGATGCTACGGTTGAACCCAGATTCTCATTCTGTTTCACTTAACAATTAATTTCTCCCTGTTGAGATTCACCTTCCTCTTGCTGAGGAAGAGAGGTGTGTGGGCGGTAGGATGAGTGATTCAGCCTCGTGAATATTAGACACAGCTCAGCAGCAACTGGAAGAGGATGCATTGACAGGGAAACAGTACTTGTGCTAAACAAAGAGCAATGCTTTGATACACACCATCAAATGGTTTCCCAACATGAATCCTTGGCCAAGTAACCAGTCAGTCTGTTTACCCATTTTCCCGATGCCATTACAAACCACTGAGGATGCTAGCGTTCGAACCAGACAACCACATATGTATTTGTTCTGCAGACAAAGCTGGCTGTGGGGGAAAGAGGAGCTTAAGGAGGACCTGCGTACACCAAAAGTGATCTGTAGAGAGCTCTAGCTTGGAACTCTGACTTACCCGTGGAGTCGGTCCTGGAAGCCCGGCCACTTGCCTGCTCCTCAGCACTGAGGAGCTGCAGGTCCGTGTATGAAGGAGCAACACTAGGACTGCTGGTATCCTCGGAATGGGTTGTCCAGCTGCTCTCAGAGGTTAGAGGGCACCTTCTTAAAGAGTCGAAGGAGGGGCAGGTCCAGCAAGGCATGGTCAATGTGAGGGCTGAGAAGAGATGGAAATCCAAGAGGATACAATGTAAATAGTTATCTTTTGCTTAAGTCTATCACACTCATCTTATGTTGATGTCACTCAGATCCTCTGCAACAGCAGCCATCATAGAAAGCAAGGGGACACTTGGGATGAGGAGAGAGAAAATAGAATGAATGAGGTTTCATAGAGAGTCACTATCAGGCACCTTTACAAATGTTTTTTGCATTTGATCCATTGATATTAGGAGGGCAAACCAGCACAGAGATTAAGAAACCTACAAGATCATATAGTCAGTTATCCCAGCTGAAGCACCGAAGCTATAGTTGGGGTAAGAGACAGAAAGGGAAAATTGAGATTTCAGAGGGAATACTTGTTGCAGTATGGAAATGAAAAAAAGAGAATCTGCATTCCTTATTTTCTTGGGCATGTATGAAACTCCTGGATCTTTGCACTGAGGGCTCATGGCTTCTTTTCCTTGGAACTATTATCCCTTGGCAAATCACCTGTGAGCTATTCTCTCCACAAATGCAAGGCTGCCTTCTACTTATTTATTTAATTTATAGCATCATTGCTATGTGACCCGCTATATCCCTGTCTTCAGCTAGAATTCAAGATTACCAGGGAGGAAGACCTTTTGTCTGTTTTGCTCACTTCCTACAATGCTGCCTGACACAAGGCAGGCCCTCATCACTTGCTGATTATGTCAGATGAACTACGACAAACCATTCCCTAACAGTCTGTATTACACAGACTGTCAAAACCAGACCATCACCTGTAAAGCCCCTAGACAAACAGAAAGCAAAAGGATACTCGTACAAATAAGACAACTAGAAAGTAAAGCTGAGCTTGTAATAGGTTTGTTGTAGGACTGCCGTTCCCTGGTGGAGGATCAGGGACTTTGAACTACTACGGAATAGATCTCTTAGATAAAGTATACTAACATTAACATATATATACAACATGGCGCTATCAAGCGGCCAAGGGAAATCTCAAAACTAGAAATGTAAGTGAAGCTTAGCTGATTTCCATACCCTGAGGACGGCTGAACAAACCGGAGACCCCCTGCTGAGTCTGAGTACGTATGGCCCATGTGATGATAAAGGAGAATGAACCTTCAGGCAACCCAAGATAGACAAACTAACAAAAAAATCAGATGCCTAAATGAGAATCCCCAGAGGTTAAAAGGAGTACATCGGGGATAACTTTATCTTTAGTTAGAGATACAAAGAAAAATGTCTACCTTAAATTTGGGTCCAAGGGACAGAGAAAAAGAAAAATCTCCTGATGTAAGGTCCCACATAGGGATTTGTGTGTTGTGTGATATTTTGATTACATGGTAATAGTAAAGTTTGTTTTGAATCTGAGGGTAAAGCTAGCCACTACCTGACCAAAATTAACCATAGAGGTTTTGGAGGACTGAGGAAGTAGTAAGGCAGGGCTTAGAGAGGATCTCGGCCCTTTTTGGAGGAAGGAATGGAAGAGGTAGGAAGTCACTGGAGGCTAATCCGTTGTTTCTCTGATCTCTCAGGTTCTTACCCCAATATCTGACTCCTGATTTTTTATTGATAAAGAATAATTGGATAAATGCATCATTTGTGTACATTGGAAAAACTTTCAGCCTAAATTTCAGCTGAAATATTTCCACATAGCTTCATATACCTGTGAGAGAAAAATACTAACCCTTTCTGGAAGAAAGTGCCCACAAGCTAGCCATCTCAGGCAGAATATCCCAAGAAGGTGGTAAAAACACAATAGTAGTAAACCACAAAGTACATAGAAAATCAAATTATCGTGAACAAGAACAAGGAAGATATTGGAAGGCTGAGCAAATAGAGTCAGCCCGGCAAAGAATTCAGATAGTGGGTTTAGGAAGCAGGATGTGCAACTAGGTATGGTGTGTGTAAGGAAATAAGAAGCTAGAAATATGAGAAAGGAACACGTAGTCATGAGAAACAGCTAAATGGATTTCTTAAGAAGAGAAAAATAAACTACCTCAAATACAACAGTGAGTGGACAGCGTGAAGGGCAAAGAAATAAGGTGAAAGACACTGAGGAGAAGGAAAGTCCACGGTGCACAGGGAGACACTGAGGAGAGGGAATGCCCACGGTGGAGAGGGAGACACCGAGGGGAAGGAACGCCCACAGTGGACAGGGAGACGTTCTCATCCGTATATCTGAGTTCCTAAGGATGTGAGAATGGGAGGAAGGCAGTATCTGAAAAACCGCTGCTGGCTGAGAACTTCCCAGGACTTGTGAAAGAATTTCTTTTTCAGATTAGAAATCCCCAGGAATGTCAATCAGAGTAACTAAAAGTAGACCTCAGAATCGTGTAAGACTAAAGACAAAGGGAAACTCTTAACAGCTATTGGGAAAACTACACATTACTTTCAAAAGTGGTCGTTCCTTGTCCTCAGTGTCTCCCTGTCTACCATGGGTGTTCCTACCACCTTCTCAACAGGACGAGATGGACACCAATGAACATGTCAACATGCTGATACAGGCTAAGATCAGGATAGGATCTTACCCAGGGTGCTCTGCTTTCCTTCCTATTGCTATGATAAAACCCAATAATCAAAAGCAAGTAGGGAAGAAAAGGGTTTATTTCAGCTTCCAATGTACCACTCAAGGGAGTTGGGAAGGGAACTAGAGTAAGAACTTGAAGCAGAAACCATAAAGAGATGCTGTTGGCTGCATGGCTCTCAGGTTCATACTTAGCTAGCTTCCTTATACAGCCCAGGATCCCCTGCCCAGCAACAGTACTGCCCACAGTGGGTTCAACCCTCCTGCATCAATTAACAGTTAAGAGAAACACCCCCCCCACAACATGCCCACAGGCTAATCTGATCTAGGCATTCCTCAAATGAGACTCCCTTTTCAGGTGACTCTAGGCTGGGTCCAGTTGATGGTTGAAGCTAACTAGGTAGGACATGGAGAAATGCCTTCACACTGGAATCGGCCAACCTGTATAATATATGGGTGCACACATGCTATTAGCATTTGATGGCTGCTTGGGGGAGAGTTAGTTTTCTTTAACAGGGTGACCCCAGTTGTAGTTGGGGTGGCACAAACTGTATCACACTGGTTTTGTTTTCTTCTATAGAGAGAAGGAGAAAGAGAAAACTCAAAATTGGGTAGGGAGTTGAGGGTGGAAAAGCTGGGTCTGGGAAGGGGTGGAGGAAGGAGGATGAACATGACCAAAATTCATTGCATGACATTCTCAAAGAACTCATAAAAATAATATTTTTTTAAAAAAGTCCAGTGACATCCTTGGTCGTATAAGGATTCTGAGGCTCACCTTTACGAGAGCATGTCTCAGTGCAAAGGAAGAAAAGGCATTAGAAGAATGTTCACAGAAGCATTTTGTTAACTGCCAAAGTAGAGAGGACCCACGTGTCCAGCCGTAGCCTGGTAAATGAACTTCTGTAGAATGCTATAATCATGATGGAAAGCACAGCATAGAAACAACAGGGACTGCAGCCACAGGGAAGAAGATGGGCAAGTCTCACAAACCACAAAGTCACAAAATACTAGCTAGAACACTGTTCCATTTTTGCAAAGTTCAGAACCAGACTAATTTAAATCACAGCTTCCTCGACAAATGTGTAGGTTGTAAAGCTGTCAAAAAAAAAAAAAGGTACAAAGACAAGTTATTGCCATGAGCCTGGGGCGTGGGGGTGGGAAGCAGCTGAGGGAGGGGCCGTGATGGAGGAGGTTGTGATTAGTAGGAAATCAAAGCCCTTCCGGATGGATGATGGCAATACTCCATTTATTAACGGGGCAATGGCTTGTATGTTGTTCTTCAGACTTTGATATATTTTTAAGAACAATCCGTTTGTGTTTACCTAGTTATAAATAAAATTTATTAAACCCACATATCAAAAATGCTGATTTCAATACCGATCTTTACCTTTATGGGTGAAAACATCCATATTTCCTTTGAGAGATAAATTAAGGCTAGCCAAAGGAGGGTGGGGAGGTTAATAAGGCCTTGTAGCGAACACGCTGTTCTCATTTGGTCCCTAGCCACTATTCATTTACCAGCTTCAGATTCTGGAATGAGCTATTTTACGCAGGCTTGACTGAATGAATGTCCTGAGGCCACAGGTTTCTCTGAAATGAGAGAAGGCCCTGTGCTGGGCTAGATGGCTCTTCTCCCAGGGCCAGACCTTTGATGCCTGAGCCAGTCCAAAGTGGGCTGCCATGATGATGTTTCTCAGACACATCCATCCAGTGAAGATGTATGTACCCCAAGTTCTAGAATGAGGGCTCTGAACCCAGATGCCTCATTCCCAGGCTGAGGGAAATGGATAAATGCATCCATGACTCCACTTTTTCACCTGGAGCATGGAGCCAAAGAGAGTAAAACCCTAGCTAGGGTATCGGGTCGATGGCAAAGCACTGTATACAAAGAAGTACCTGAAACAGATCACACAGTAGCAGCTGACGTACGAATGTGACAGCATATCCTGAGGCTCCAACCGACTTGATGTCGCCATCAGATCTCTCACTCTACATATCCTATACTAGGTTACTGCCATCCCTTTCAAACAGCCCCTTCATCCTTTCGGCTACCCAGGATAAAATTCATGTCACCCTAAAGTCTTTTCCTATTTGGTCCATCATAAGTTCTGTTCAAGACCTACTTTCTTTCGTTCTTATTTATTTATTTATTTATTTAAGATTTCTGCCTCCTCCCCACCACCACCTCTCATTTCCCTCCCCCTCCCCCGATCAAGTCCCCCTCCCTCATCAGCCTGAAGAGCAATCAGGGTTCCCTGCCCTGTGGGAAGTCCAAGGACCACCCACCTCCATCCAGGTCTAGTAAGGTGAGCATCCAAACTGCCTAGGCTCCCACAAAGCCAGTACGTGCAGTAGGATCAAAAACCCATTGCCATTGTTCTTGAGTTCTCAGTAGTCCTCATTGTCCGCTATGTTTAGCAAGACCGGTTTTATCCCATGCTTTTTCAGACGCAGGCCAGCTGGCCTTGGTGAGTTCCCGATAGAACACCCCC